TCTGCTCATGCTTCTTGAGTTGCCTCGAGACATAAGCAATCACCCGATCATATTGCATCAATACACATCTCAAACCTTGTAATGACGCATCACTGTAGATCACAAAATTTCTCGTGTTATACGAAAGAGCCAAAACAGGTGCGGTGGTCAATCGCTTCTTAAGCTCCTGAAAACTCTGTTCACATCCCTCAATCCACACAAATTTGACTCCTTTCCTTGTTACCCGAGTGAGGGGTGCAGCTGTCGTAGAGAAACCTTTCACAAAACAACAATAATAGCCTTCCAACCCAAGAAAACTCCTCACTTCAGTCACCCTAGTAGGTTGTACCCAATTTACTACTGTTTCCACCTTCCGAGGGTCCACGTAAATTCCTTCTGCTGAAATCACATGTCCAAGAAAATCCACTATATCCAACCAGAGCTGGCATTTACTAAACTTGGCATACAACTACTTTCTCCTCAAAGTCTTCAATACTAATCTCAAATGTTTCTTATGAGCCTCCAAACTCCGTGAGTATACTAAGATGTCATCTATGAACACAATCACAAAGCGATCCAAGTAAGGTCGGAACATTCTGTTCATGAGATCCATAAACGCTGCTGGGCATTAGTCAATCTGAAAGGCATCACCAAGAACTCGTAATGGCCGTAACAGGTCCTAAATGCCGTCTTATGAATATCTTCTTCTCTGACTCTCAGTTGGTGGTATCCCGATCTTAAATCAATCTTGGAAAAGTACTTGGCACCTTTAACTGATTGAACAAATCATCAATACGAGGCAAAGGATACCGGTTACGCACTGTCACCTTATTCAGTTGTCTGTAATTGATACACAACCTCATAGTGCCATCCTTGGTTGTTAGGAGATGGAAAATAAGATGCATCAATTGCCAATAAATTTTCATACTTGGTAGATTCAAATGGAAAAAGCTTGGCTCCTTAAAATTGAGGAGGAATTCCTCCTTAATCTTAAGAAGCCAAGCCATGCTCATATATTGTGGGTATAGTGGCGAAGTGGTGGGGCATGGGAGAGAGAGAGAGAGAGAGAGAGAGAGAGGTATTAATTAAAGGGTGTTTTAGGAATAATAGTGGGTGGAAAGATAAGATTGTGTTTTTTTAAATTTACATGGTGGGTGGGAAGATAAGGTGAATGAGGAAGTAGGACATGAGTAGAAATAGCAGCACTCCAAAAACAATGTTGGTGTTTGTGCCTAATAAATCACGGTCGTAAAAATGACCGAAGAAGTTTCCGCTCGGCCCTAGCACCTATTCATGAACCGGAACATGGCGTTTTGTCTTCCTAGAGACAAAGGAAGAGCTGCAAAGGCATAATCATCTCGGCCTCGACCGTGGCATTATGGGCCGAGGCCGAAGGGCGAAAAAGACACGGCCAAAGATATTATAGTCAAATCGCCACGTGGCAGCAAGGTCCCACACTTCATTTAATGAAGTAACACCTCTGACTAGCAAACCCACTAGCAGCAATAAGGCATTTAATGCACGAGGGAAGAAGGGAAGTGACTAAAGTCAGGATTTGGTGATAAAAATCAGAGTGGTTAGGCGCAAACATTCTTACAAATATTCTT